TGATTTACAACGTCCGAGAATTAAGGTGGGCATTTCAATTTTAATAATATTGTTTTTTATTCTTATAACATTTATTGAGTGTTTTACATAACTATGATAATAACAGTTTAGGAACTATAAACAAGTGAAAGATATTGTTCTTATTTCAAAATATATCTTTTAAGGTACAGAATTTTCATTAAGGGAAAACAATCTCTATTTTCGTATTATATTGTACGTGGTAGGGACCCCTCCGGAGGAGTGCTGAAAACTAAAAAACCTTACAAATGCTTATTGCAATTTTGAAAAATCAATGGTTTTCAACGAAACGAAAATGAAAACTGAGCAGTTTTGACTTAAACAGTTGCTTCGTGACCGGGGGAACTCAATACAGCTCAACAAACAAAGTTTAAATGTAAAAAAATCATGGAGCTATTTTTTTTAACGAACAAGAGTTTTGAAAATGTGCCCGGCGGGGCTTCTGATTAAGTACAAGACGCTTGTGCACTGCGGCGCACCGGCACCAAGAATGTAAAAATATTCAGATTTCAAGTTTCAAGAGTGGTCCTCGGACACGGATATCTGATTTTCAGATCAATGAAGGAATGTAGTCAATTTGGAGAGAATAGACCTGCAGAGCTTTACAACAGCAATAACGACCTTGTTCACAGACGACAGGCCGTTTCCGTGCCCCAAGTTTAATTTTTTGGTATTAAGGACCACACAAATGGATTTGGCTAACTCACATGTTAAGAGGGAGTTGAGTTTGTTTAACATTTAGCAACTGTATATTTCACTTTTTTGTTACTTTTTCATACCTTGAAGGACCTGTGTTTAGAGAAAATTAAAAACTGGAACTGCTGCACGTAAATAAGATGTAACAGTCAGACACCCTTTAATCGTCACGTTTCCTCTCCTCAGAGCTCTAACAATGCGGTTTAAGGTGAATCTCTGTTTTCTGTATAAACATGTGAAGCAGATCTAGTAAAAGGAATACAAGGAATTCAAATACTGAAGAGCAATATTTCCATAGTAACTAATGAAAATGTTCCATTAGGATAGTAGCTGTTTTACGTACAGCAAACGAACATACATCGTAGTTAGATGCAGAATTGGCCTCTAACAATAATACTGATGGCAAACTCTCGCTGTTAGCCAGGTTGCTAGATTGAAGTATCAGGAGGGCAAATAAAGGATATTGAGGATATTCTCGTATTGCGTGATTGAAACAAGTGACAGTAGTGGTCTGGAAGCTAAAATTTGTGCATCTAATGAGAACAGGGTAATCTGCCATACCAAGGAAATGATTGATGTGATGTGAAAGATGTTGTAAGAAGTCTGCTATAAATTTTGGGTTAATCTCTTGATTTTTTTACAATTAGGATGTATTAAGTGATCTCTGAACAGAAGAAAAATTAGAGAAAGCATTACGAAATCAAAGCAAGAGACTTGGCCTTTTTGTTTTTAGAAAGCAACTGATCAAAACTTTTGGACATTATTTAGAAAAAGAAGAGACAGACAAGGGAAACTTGCGTAATTATAGTTGTAGAATAGTGTATGTGAAATGCCTATGAAGGAATCATAATGTTTTAACTTTGGTGAGGAAGAGGGTAGTAGAATAAAATTATTCTCAAGGCTGATCAACATAATAATATGAAAAAGTTAAAGAAATAAACAAGCCCATCCCTTCCTGCTCGTCTCCTCTCGCCCCCCCCCCCAAAATCATAAAACTCTGATTGAAGCGTCGCTGAAATTGGAGTGTGTACATAACATGTGTTGTTCAAAGATCCAGGTCGTTGATAGAATGGAGAAGGGGATGTTCTACTGGTGATAGAGTTTCTGTAGCTGAGTGGATCGAATCATTGTAAAACGATTAATTGTTTTTTCTAGGGTACTGGAAAGGGATAGAGGTAGCACTTCCCAGCGCTTTCTGTTAAAAACTGTTAGCCACATGCAACCATTAGCTCATCCCATGAATTAGAGAATTTTATAAGAGCTAGAAAAAGGTCAAGATGTGTTGACCAGACATGTTTAAAAAAAAAGATAACGTCCATATGAGTTGAACAAAGGTCTCGCTCTACTGGCTTTGAATTAAAATATGAATTCAATAGTTACTCAGCTGTTCATCCAGCCTAGCAATTTAAGGTGAACAAATTGTTTTCAAGAAAATCTTTTTGCTTCATGGAATGTCTGTAGAAAAATAAATGGTATGATAGTTCTGTAATTATTTGAAATAAAATGAACTCACGACTGATATATTTGTGAGATGTTTTTTGCATCCTTGAATCAATGGTTTATTGGAGTTTATACAGAAAAATACAATTCTGACTTATTTTAGCCCGTAAGTTCAGCTATTTAGCCTTGTTGCTTGATCAATCCCATGTGATTGTACATGTATATGGATAAATACTAAATGATTGTTTTCAATTTAACATTCACTTATATGTGTAGTGTTTGCCTATTCCACCTTGTATGCTAATCTTCATGATTTTCGGACTTCATCTGAACACACATACCTTGTGATACATAAATTATTGAGTGAAGATGAATTTGCTGAATTGGAATATAGTTTTATCAAGCCTTTCAAGTGGGTACTTGAATGGTTTGAGATTTAAAGCAGTGTAACTAGTGAAATGTTCAAAGTTTTAGTGCTTTCACTTAAAGTTAATTGCAATATCAGTGAAAGAAATTTTCCTGGTATAAAGAATAAGGTGAGGTGATCCTAATTGGACAATCATTTGGTAGTGGCAAAATTGAATGGCATAGAGTTAACTCAA